TATGTGGAAATTAATCACATTTTAAATAAATTACTAATGGATTATTATTTAATTAGAGAAAATAATGATTTAATTGTTATATAATTGAATGACAAATTGAATTTTAATTTATTAATTTACATTCTTAAACAAGATATTGAACAAAGAAATGAAATTGAGAATGATTAAAGTTAAATAATGATAATATTTATTGAAAATGAAATATTTCATTATCATTCAAAATAACAAATAACAAAATAAAATACTAACAAATTAATTAGATATAAAAAGAGAATATTCTATTAATAAACATAAAAATAAGATAAAAGTTATACTTAATTTCAAATATTATCTTACTTCTATCAATATTTTATTTCTTATACAGTACATGAATTATCACTTCAACTCTATGTAAAAAATCTGATGAGATATATTTTAAACTTGAACAACCATTTTATGAATCTTTTTAAACAATAAATCAAAAATTATTACTCATATTCATCATATGAATAATACCAAACACACAATCAAAAAAATAAATAATAACAAATTAAAGAAATTATAATTGATTATAATTCTATTTTATTAATTTATATTGAAATATATTAACTTAGCATTAACGAAATCATCTAGTAAATTATCATTTTACAAAGTTATTTTTATTTAATAATGAACTTAAGATATAACTCAACAATAGAATATTAATGAATATATCATGAAACAATAATTATTAAAACTCTTATAATGAATCAATATAATCAAAAATTAAAATTATAAATAAAGAATTACAATATGTTTTGTTAATTGAGAACTTTATTGATAAAAATGAAATGATAACATGAATATTATTCAAATAAAAATCAATAAAATATTTGTGATAAAACAATAAAATAAAGAAGTTATAAAACAAACATTTTAATGATTTAATTCAAATACAACTATCATCTTGTAATGAATATATAGTTAAATGATATTTTATTAACAACTAAAATCATTAATTCATTATTTAATAAAAATATTTATAGTATATACTGTTAATGTATGATATAAAATGGTTTTATTTCAATACAACATTTGATAATATTATAAATTTAGTTAATGAAATATAATTAAAATGGGTTGAAATTTGTACGTATAATTAATTTGAACTATCACTAATATTTATAATATTTCATTATCAAATTAAAATAAAGGAATTAAAAAAAAAGGGATAAATAATATTTCTAAAGATATTAAAATGAATAACAATTAAATAAATACTCTATATGAATTAAAAAAAAACAAGAAAAATAAATCATTTTAATATCTCTTTTGTATTTGTATTTATTTTATTGTTTATATAACACTACTCAAAAATAAAATTTCTTTAAAATGACAAATATCTATTATTCAACTTTTTTTAGAAGGAATATATTTGTGATGAATAGGTATTATAAAAAATATTAAGTAACTTGACTTCAATTTAAAGAATAATAGAATCAATAAATCATTTGATAAAAGTTAGAAAAATAAAAATGAATAAAATAAAATGTATTATATAAAAGGAATATCTAAAGATAATTTGACGTATTATATTTTTTAGTTTTATTTTAAGATTTCATATATTAAAATAATCAAATCAATTATGGTAATAACAATTCAAAAATCATTCAAATTATTGTTGTTGATGTTCAATATCTTTCAATAACTTATTCATAATATTGTTCATTATTGGTTGACCTTTTTTTGTTTTTTGAAGTAAAATTTTCTTTTCCTTTAACTTTTCTTTTTTTCGTTTCTCTCTTTCAAGTTGATTAAATTTTCGTTCTTCTAACTCTTTCTTTTTCTCTTTTATTATTTCTTTTCGTTCTTCTCTTGCTTGTTGAATAGTTTTTTTAGTTTGTTGTTTCACTTGATTTTTGATAAGTTCTTTGAATCCTATATTATTTTCTTCCTCCATCTCATCATCTAATTCTCCTTTAAAGTACTTGTCATAAAATGAATTAGGGTTGGCATTCTCAGCAATAAGTTTCTCAATCTTCTTTTCATTTTTCTTCATTTGTTTGAGTTGTTCAATCTTTTCTTTTGTTTTACCTTGTGCATAATATTTTGTTCTTCGGTGCCACTTCTCTCGTGAAGTTTCGTGTGTCTTTCTTGGTTTTTTGTCAAAGGTCTTCTTTCCTGACATACTGTTTTTTCCAGTTTTATCTAAAAAGTCGTGTTATACAAAACACAAATCAATCAATTGATAAATTCAGAAGTTGATGGAGAAATACTCATTGATGTAATGGCTCGGTGACATGTTTTTGTAAGAGAAGAACTGCTTCTACTATATGATGGACGATGAGGAGTAAATGGGTCAATTGAATATGAAATGGTATGGTCTTGACTAGATTTAGGAGAAGAAAATGTATTTAAATTCTGGTAATACATAGAAAGGAATTGAGAATTATAATCATTTCCTTGATTGTAATAATTATCAATTTCTTTGTCTTCATTCTCTTCAAGATAATATACTGGTTGTACTTGAGGTAATTCTTCAGGACGTAAGATAGTTGTTGAAGGAGTTGAAGAGAGTTGAATTGATGATGAATTATTAAATCGTTGAGAAGAGAGAGAAGTTGTTAAAGAAGATAAATATGAAGGAGTAGAAAATTGAGTTATAATTGTTCTTGGTTCACTAATTCTTCTTGAATTGATGATATAACTTCGGTCAATTGTATGTTGAGTTTTTCTAAGGAAATAAGTGTAAGATAACATAAATAAGAATCAACAAACAAATAATTGATTAATATCTTAATCATGACAGTGAAAATAATAACAATTAATATAATAATAAATAATGTAATGAGTAGTGGTGTAGCTGATTCTTTATCTGAGTTATCCATTTAGTAGTTAAGTATTCTGTCGTTGAATTCTGAGATGATTTTGTTTCTCTTTCTTGAAATAAATAAGAAACGAAAAATTATTTATCCCAATTTTTATTTTTATTAAAATGTTTTTATTTTTTAAAATAGAAAAACACAAATAAAAAATTTTGTTATTTTAAAAAAACTTAATAAAATAAATCATTATGTTTCAAGTAACCTATCATGGTATTCACTCATTTAACGAAGGAACAACAATTGATTTTATTTCACAATACTTTAATATTCCAAGACAATATTTTTATTTAATTAAGAATGGAAAATTAAAATATGAAGGACATAATGGAGAAGTTCTTGATTTAATTATAAGAGCACATGGAGGGAAAGGTGGGTTTGGAGCTTTATTAAAAGGAAAAGAAATTAAATCAAAAAAGAAAGAGAATTTACCAGAAGATTATTATGATATGAGCCGAGATTTAAATACAGGTAAAAGAATATACCAAATTCGGATTGAGAAAGAGTTAGAAAGAAAAGAAGAAAGAAGAGTTGAATTAAAAGAAATAGAAATAAAAAAAGAAAAAGAAATGGAAGAAGAATATAATTTAAAGAAAGAAGAAGATATTATTTTAACTGAAGATACAACAAAAAAATTATTAAGAAAGATTGATTGTTATATGAATGAAGGAGGGATTAAAAGAAAAAAAGAAGAAAATAAAGATAATAATGGAAAGAAAATAAAACAAGAAGAAAATGAATTAGATATTCTTAATCCTTTTTAATATATTGTTTTTCAATGTTCATTTTAATTTAATTAATTAATTTAAAAAAGATTTAATGATTGAGAAATAATTTAAATATAATAAATAAAGAAAATTTAATTTTCATTTAAAAAATATTGTAAGAGATGTTGAAGATTAGAAGCTTGTTGATAATAAAAAGGATGTTCTATAAAATAGATTGGAAATACATCATGAACAATACTATATAATAATTTCATTATTAAAGATATTATTATATTATCACATTTATTTTCTGTTAAATACCATATTAATTCTAATATACAAATATAGAAAAGATGAGGTAAATGAAATAAATCATTATATTTATTTTGTATTATTAATTTAAGAATAGAATCAAAATGAGATGGATGATAACATTGTTGATAAATATTAATTTCTGGAGAATAAAATAACATTGTCATTGTATTACATAAACTATGAATTCTTTGATAATTTCTATATGATAAATAATTTAATTTAAATTTGTTTTTACAAAATATTCTTAATTCTTCAATATATTCTTCAAAAATATCCCATTCATATTGATTATTATTTTGATTATTATTATATCTAGAAATACAATATTGAATAATTCTTCTTAATATTTCATAAAATTCTTTTTGTATTTGATTACATCCTATAATTGAATATTGATTAATATATTCTTTAACTCTTTCAAAAAGAAGTTGATCTGCAATATTCCATTCATTTCCCATTTCAAATATATTTGATATAATTTGATCAATTCTTGTATTTTCAATAATAAAATCAATAAGACATAATCCAACTTTATAAATATCATTATCCTTCCTAGTATCACCTCTTCCATAACTATAAATATTTGTTTTCTTTATATCCAAACAAAGTTCTTTTTTTGTTATAAATCTAGCACATCCAATATCTCCAATAACACATCTTCTTTTCCCATTTTCTTTGTAAACAAATATATTATCTCCTTTATAATCTCTATGCCATATATTAAGTCTCCCTAATGCGGATGCTCCACTCATAATATCTAGTATCATAAATATCATTTCTTCAATATTTCTTTCTTTTAATTGTTTCTTTCCATTTTTTAATTCATTTGTAACATATTGTGTTAATGTCATTTCATCATATAACTTTGTAATTGTTATAATACTATCAAAAGTATCATTTATTGTATCATTTTGATAATAATCTTGATACTGTATAACACTATGAACAATTCCATATGATTTAATTAAACAAGGAATGTCATATAATGCAGTTAACATTTCAACTTCTTTTAATACAATACTTTTATCTTTCAATGTGAATATTTTTATAGCAACATCTTTATATTGTTGATAATTCTGTTCTTTTAATATTTTCTTCTTCAATAATTCACATTTCTTTTTAATTGATGGATTATTTGTTGATAAAATACAATCATGATTTATCCAATCATCTATATGGAAATACATTCCTTTTAAAACAATACCAAATCCACCACTTCCTATATGGTACTTTTTAGCATCAGTTTTATAAATTTTATGTTTATGTTTTAGAAATATAGATTCATCATTGAACTTTTTTATTATTAATGGATAATATTCTTGAAAATTAATCCACATTCTTTCATCATTAAATTGAATATATTTTTCATTAATAATGAATGGTGTTTTTCTTCTTAAACATTTAACAATGAAATTATCTTGGAGTATTTCTTCAATTTTCTGTGTTTTTCTTATTCTTTCTAAAAATAAATCATAGTCACAATATAAAGGAAGTCCTTCAATTGTTTTTCTTTTTACGTTTGTATCTTTTAACTCTATTATTCTTTTAATTGATTGAAATAAATTTCGTAAATTATTACAATTTAATGCAGATGGTTTTTTAGATTCTATATATTTTATCCACAAATAATCTAATGTTTCTTTGTTCCATTCTCCATATTCTTTTTTTTCTAAATATTCTTTTAATTGACTCTTTGAAAGAAAGTGTAATGTTGTTTGTGAATCTAATCTAAAAAGAAAATAGAACTCTCCAAAAACAGAAGTTTTATTACGAGTATTACTGAAATAGAAATCATCAATAGTTAGTTCTGGTAATAAAGAATGATATTTGATTATAAATTGAAAGATATCTGACATAAGACATTCAAATAAAGGGATTTTAGATGCAACTTCAAAACTAATTTTTTCGTTTTTAATAAATTCATTCATTAAACAAGTTATTGGAGGTTTTTGAATAATATCTATTGTTTTAATTCCTTTTCTAAATTGAATAGTCTGAGTTAATTCATTTTCAATAAGTGATTTTATAAATACACGAATTAATGGACTTTTTATTGTATTATATTGAAGATAAGTTAAATTAACTTCATTATCTATATTTCTCTCTTCATTAACTATTATTAATTCTCTTTTTACTGTTCTTAATTGAATTTGTTTTATTGAATTCATCCAATCAAGAAAGATTGAATATTTATAGTTCATTTAAATAAATTCTTTTTTTTACATAGAAACAGATTATTTCATAGAAGAACCCAATGAGTGAATCATCACAATCATCTAATTAGAAATCTCATTTAAATTAGAAATTTTTGAATCTATTAAGATGATAATAAAAAAAAAGAAAGAAATAAAATGAATAAATACAAAGAATTCAATTGTACATCTGTTGAAATTCATAGAAAAATAAGGTTATTTAAGCAATAAATAAACCTCTTCCAACAAGTTCCATCATTTTAAATTGAGAAATAGAAGTTCCACCAATAATAAGATGAGATATTTTAGTACATTTTTGTAATAATATTTCAATTCCATTATCAGTTACTCCACTACACATACGAAGTTCAACAGAAGTTAATAATGGACAATAAGAAGCAATATTTCTCAATACATCATCACCACACATTGGAATAAAATTAAGTTTTAAAGAATTTAACCATTGAGCTTGTTCAGTGAATAAATAAGATTGTTTAAAAGCAATTCCTTGCATACAAAAAGTAGAAAGTCTAGTTAAACTATTTACAAGTGAAATAATATCATCTTCATTAAACATTACATCAAAAGAAATATCAATATATTCTAAAGATTGAATTTTACATAATATTGGAATAACAAATTGATTAATAGAAAGACAAGAAGAAATATCTAAATGAGAAATTAAAGGACAAGATAATTTAATTTGATTAATAACTTGGTTTGTTATTCCTCTATTATTTGATAAAAATAATGTTCTTAATTGTGGACATGAAGCAATAAATTTTAACCAACTATATTCTGAAATCATATCATTATTTGATGCATAAAAACTAGTTAAAGTATTTGAATATAAACTAAATACATTTAATGATAAACTAGATAAACTATTACAAAATGAAAGATTAAGAGATAATAAATCTATACCTCTTGTTTGAAAAAGATTTGTATAAGCATTATCAGTTAATTTAATACATCTTTTAAGAGATAAAGTTAAAGGATGAACTTTCATTCCTGGAGTATGAATTGATCTTCTAACAGTTTGATTATAAGTAATAGAAGATTGAATAAATTCTTGTAATGATTGATCTGTAACAACAGTATCATCTAATATTAAACTTCTTAATTGTGGAGATGCAATAAGCATTGTAGTAATAAATTCTTCTGAAAGACGAATACAACCAGAAATATTAAGATATTCTATTTCTTCTAACCAACGAAAGAGAGTTGAACGAAACATAGGATGATATGATTCTAAAATTGAATCACCATTTATTCCAAAACAATTAGTAAGATTTAAATATTTTAATTTAAATTGTGAATTAAATAATTGTGCTAATGTCATTGGTCCAGCTCTTGTACATCCTGAAAGATTTAATGAAATTAAATTTCCATTTAATTGTTGAAGAAATTTTTGAAGTGCTTCATCATTTAATCTACTATTTCCAAAACAAATTCTTGTTAAATCAGGATTTAATTGTGATAATTTTAATAAACATTGATCATCTAAACAATTATTTCCCATTAATTCTATTTCTTTAAGTCCATGAAGTATTGAAATACTAGAAATTGTTAATTGAATATTATTAGCTTTAAATGATATTAAAGAATTAATATTTTTTAATTTAATAATACTTTTATCACTAATTTTTGGACAATTAGAAATAACTATTACTTCAAGTGGTGGATTATTATTTATTAATGAAATAAATGCATTATCATCAAATCCAACACATGATTCACAATTTAAATATTTTAATTCTTTAAATGAATTAAATAATATTTTAAGTGATTCTGATGAAATTCCAGTTGAATATGAAATATTAAGTGTAGTAATACAAATATTATTACAAAGTTGTGATAAATTTATACATGTAAATTTAGTTAATAAATGAGTATGATGAAGATCAATTACTTGTAATGGTGTTCCTGAAGAAAGAATTCTAAAAAGAATAATATTTAAATCTGATTCACTTGCATTTGGATTATTTGATATTCTATAAATTAATTTACTTGCTAAAACTGGTGGAAGAGCAATTGGTGTTTGTTCTTGTTGAGATGAAAAGTTTTCTTCAAATCTACCAAATGATTCTAAAATAATTTCACTTAATGTTGGAATAATTGATCCTGTATTTTCTGTTAATAAAAATGGTCTTGTTGGAATATTTAATGATATCATTTTTCTTCTCATTCGTTTCATATTATTTGGATTATTTATCTGCATTAAAAGAACAAAAAAATTTAATTCAAGTTTAAAAAAAACATTATATGTCTTTTGATTTTTTTATTTTTTTTACTTTTCCTTTCACTTTTCTTTTTTTTTATATCTTTTTATATTTCTTTTTATTTTTAATCTTATTTACCTAAAATTTTTTTTTTAATGTGAATTTTCAAAGAACAATTTGGAAATTAATTTGAATTTTTCCTATTTTTGAATTTTCTTTTTTTTTTTTTCTTTTACTTCTTATTTCCTTATTTATCAAGTTTTTTTTTTTTATTAATTTTTATTATAAAAAATATTTAGTTTTATTTTATAAATTTAAGTTCTCTTTATTTAAATAATATTATAAATAATATTTTAATAATAAATAATAGATAAAAACAAAATAGAAAGAGAAATAATAAAAATGTAGTAATATTGAAAGAATAAAACAAAAATATTATTTTGTCTATTCGATTTGAGAGATTTCTTCATGATTAGAAGATTCAGTTATTTCATTTTTTAATGTTTTATCGGAAAGAATTGAAATTGATTCTTCGTTTGATAAAACACTACTAGAAAAAGAAGAATGAACATCTTTACTACACTCCATTTCATTTTCAATAAATTCTTCTTTTTCTAATAATCCTAAACCACATCTTTCTCTTGTATAACAAGGAGGTGGTAAAGATTTAAAAGGATTATAATCTTCAATAAATTTCTCAAAATCTAAACCATTTGAAATACAATATTCTTCTATTTGATTTCTTAAAAAGAATATTTCATCATTTAATTCATCTATTTTTTTAATTCTTTTTAAAATAGTTTGTTTAAATCCTTCAGCAACTTTAAGATAACTTTCATCAGTTTCATCATTAAATAATTGAAGTGTTTTTGGTTTAATTAATTTATGTAAAGGTTCTTTATCCCATGAAGTACAAATTAATCCAAAGAAATTTTCTAATAAAATAAGTTTATTATCATCAATAGCTCTTGAAACAAGATTAGAAAGAATAACTGATGTCATTGAATTAATAACATCACTAATATTTTTATAACAATGATCTAAAACATCTTTTGATAAAATAGGTGCACGATGTAAATGAGGAAATTCAGTTTCTATTGAAATTGAATCAAGAAATTTATTCATTGATTCATACATAGAAACAACATAAGTATTAAAAGGAATTAATTGGATATTAGTTAATGGAGTTTCTCCTTGTGGAATAAAAGATTGATAAATTTTAGTTAAAATAACTAATATTTTCTTAGCATTTTCTGTTGGTTCAATTAAACATGAATTATAATTTGCTGGTGAAACTAATGCTGGAGTAATTAATCTATGAAAAATAATAATTGCTATTGAACGAATTGCACTTTCTGGAAATTTTTTATAAACAGCTTGTCTTAAAGTAGCTAAAATATATTTAATTCCTTGTGGAAAATCATTACCTAAACTAAGAAAACGAGAACAATGAAGATGTAATAATTCAGATATAATTGTAATACTTTTAGTATAATTATCATCTTTTGAATCTAAATTAATTGGTTCATTAATATGATTAACTGATTGGATGATTGGATTCATATGTTTTTCTAATAATGATGTTAAATCTCGTCTCATAACTGATGATAATAAATGAGTTGCTCCTGAATTAGAACGAAGTAAAAATTGTTCTTCACTTGTATTAGATATTTCATATTGTAATTCTTCTGATAATATTCTATATATTTGACCTGATTCTTCTAATAAATCTCTTATAGAATCCCAAAATTCAATTACTGTTGCTGAAGAATGTCTAATAAGAAGTCTTAATAAATAAAAATCATACATTCTTGCTATTTCCCAAAAAATAAAACTATTATTTTCTACTTCATTATTAGAAATATCTGTACTAACAAATGATAATTGTGCTTGTTGTTGTATTGTATTTTCATTTTTACGAACAACATTTGTGAAACGTTTCATTTAATAATAACAAATCTATAAATTCTTTATTAAAATTTTTTAAGAAAAAAAAAATTAAAAAAAAAGAAAAAAAAAAAAGAACTTTGAAAATTAATTAAAGTAAAAAAGAAGAAATGTCGAGTAAACAAAAACTTAATGATATAGAGAAAAAATTAAAGAAACATAAACAAACAATATTAGATGGAAAAAGTGATCCATTTAGTAAACAAAAAGCAATTTTATTTTTTTTAGAGAATAACAAAAAAGAAGAATTAGCACAAATATTTAAAGAAAATAAAACATTACTTCATGGATTATTTTCTTTATATCCACCAACATTAGAAGGATTATATAAAAAACAAAAACCATTAACAGAAAAAGATTGTTTAATAGTAGAAACATTAATGGATTTTGCTTCTAATAATTATTCTCCAAGTGAAATTACATTTCTTGAACCAATTAATTCAATTTTAACAACATTTTTAGCAATAGAAACACCATATCCTATACGTAAAAGTATTTTTAAATCATTTATGAATATTTTAGTTAAATTAAATGCAGTTTCTGAAGAAACAATTTATCCTAAATTATTTATTGGTTCTTTAAATCTTGAAGGATTTAGTAATAATATAACACTTCATCTTACTTGTACTCATATTCCTGTTGGAACACCAACTCCTATTCATTCAGAAATTAATGATACTACTAAACCAAAACAACAAACATATGGATTACTTGATATTTTCTTTGAATATCTTACTAATAATCCAGAAATTCTTTATCCTTTATTTAAAGAATTACTTTCATATATTTGTGCTGATTATTGTAAAATTTATTGTGTTAATACTTTTAAACAACAAACAGGATATACAAATAAAACTATTCCAACTGATCTTTTAGATTATATTATTAAAACAATTTCAAATACTATATTATTAAAAGCTATTACACCATATCATAATAATATTTTACAATTATTAATGTATTTTTATGATATTTCTATTGATTTAGATGTAATTGAACATCAATTAATAACAAAAGCAGTTCAATTATATTTTACTAATTTTATTATAAATGATCCTTCTTTTTTAAAAAATGAAAAGACAACAGAAAATCAAATCCTTGAATTTCAAAAAGAAATCATATCAAAAATCACGAAAATTTTTACTAAAAATAAAGGAAATGAAGAACCAGAAGTAAAAATTTTAATACAAAATTTAATTAAAACAATATTATTATCATTACAACAATCTTCTTTTAATGAATTATTAAAAATAGAAATGGTTAAAATGGTTGAAGAAGGAACATTAGGATTTTTACCTGAAAAAGTTGGAGTTCAAACACAATTATTGATTACAGTAGTTGTTGATTGTTTATTTGTAGTTTGGATTTATTGGAATAAATCAAATTTAAAAGAATGGAAAGAACTTCAACAAAGATTAAAACCATTTTTAAAAGAAGAAATGGTTATTGCAGAAATTGAAAGAAAATTTAATCAATTAACAAAAGAATTAATTGATAAACATTATCATAAAAAAGAAATTATACAAAATCCTTTACCAATTCAACTTCAAATGATGAAATTAAAAACAGTTGAATTAATTCAATTTGATAGTAAATTAAATGAAAAAGAAACAATTCCTGAAGATGAATCATTAAAACAATATCTTATTAATTTTACTACATCAGAAATTCTTGGATTATGGAATATTTTTAATGAAATGTTTCAAGATATTGATAATTTAGAACCAATTGCTCGTTTAAATTGTTGTAAAGTACTTATGAGAACATTAGAATATTTACTTATTGTTGATTCATATGGAGAAACAAATAATGATTTTAATGAAGAAGGAAGAATTCAATTATATGATACATTTTTACCATTTTTAATTAAAGAATTAAAAAAAACAGATATTGAAGATGAAAAATGTTTATTATATGGTTCAATGTGTGATTTAATGATTCGAAAAATACCAAAAACAACA